TGTTGCAGAACAGCCCTCAGATACTTGCCAGAACAGAGCAAAGATAGTTATTACGATCCAGGACAAGGATGGACCCAAGCCATTTAGAGTTTTCGTGAATGATAAATTTGAGAGACTCTTCAAGATGTATGCCGACAAGGTCAAGCTTGATTTACAGAATCTAGTTTTTTGTTTTGATGGAGATAAAATTAGTCCTACTGCCACCCCTACTGGGCTTGAAAATTGAAATGGAGGAGAATAACATCATCAAGGTGCATGTGAAAAGAAAATGATGTAGAGCGGTGGCAGACTGACTTCAGTGTGCAAGACCTTTTTGCTTTATGGAACTTTCCTTCTGTCTGCAACTGTATAGTAAAGAATTTCTGTTAGGAAATGACTGAAATCTTAGGGAAAATGAACTTGAACTTGTTACCTTATTTGGATTGCTATTAGTCAGGGATTAAACATGTATGAGATTTCTATTTTATAAATTTTGTGAGTTTGGATGAATTTGGTGATTTGTTTGATGAATTGGATATAAATTTAGATGATTAGATTTTTAGTTATATTTTATAAATTTGATTTGTATGAATATATATATGACGTATATATGACGTCATCCCCCTATCGACCCCAGTCGAACCCATTGACCCCTGACCCCTGAGCTCGACCGAGTCGACTCTCGGTCCGAGTCTGAAAACATAGAATGGAACTAGAGACAGAATGTTGCAATTGGAGGAAAGCCATATGCGGTAGCCCCTGTGTTGCCGTTATTGTGTGTGCCAAATGCTTGTGAACATTGGAGGCAATTTCTTTAGTTGCTGATTGTTGCTGGATAGGCGGGTGGTTACCTGCCAAATCAGATAAGTCTTATCTTGTTTCTTAAATTCTTGTACATTCGGAATAGACCAATGGTTGGGTCCTATCAACCATAAAAGTAGCTATAAATATGTTTGTTAGGCACCAATGGTTGGGTCCTGTCAATCATAAATATGTTCGTTAGCTATAAATGGTTGGGTCCTAAATTCTTAGAGTTGTTCTACACGCCAAGTATTTATAGAAATATTCCTTATATACTTTGTGAAACGTAAGGTTGGCATGTTCTGCGTGCCAAGTATTTGTAGAAATATTTTTATAAACTTTGTGAAATGCAAGGTTGGCCTTTAGACTGTAAAGTGTATGCGTTGTTCTTTCATTTTTGCCTAAGTATTCTACTGTGAATACTTGTAAGTAGGCATGGCCACGGTTCCAGAACCGCTGGTTCTGGTTCTTCAAAGAGGTAGAACCAGAACCGCACCATCTAAGATGGTTCTGATTCTGATTCCAGAACCGCCGGTTCTGGTTCTTCAAAGAGATAGAACCAAAACCGCACCATCTGGTTCTGGTTCCGGTTTCGATTCTGGTTTAGGTTCTGGTTCCTTATAGTTCTGATTTCGATTCTTTATGGTTCTAGTTCTGATTCTGTATAGTTGTATACAATTTTATTTAATTTTTTATCCTTACCAATTTTAATACGAATATAATAATATATTTAAAATTGTAAATAGAATGTAAAAAATAAATACAAAATAAAGATCATATTTTAATTTTATCATTATTCAACGAAGTACGAAGTAATAAATACATAATACAAATTTTATGAAAAATACATTACATTGTCAAATTAAAAAATACATTACACTATCAAATGGTAATCATTTTAAATGGAAAAGAAAATACTTGATTTTTTCATTGAAATTGAGATGAAATATCAAAACAAACATTAATTATTTAATCATCTTCATTGCTTGCGACGGCACTAGAATCAATTGTATAATTGAATTCTTCTTCTTCATCTTTTTCCATTTCTTGTTGTCTATATTCTGCTCTAGTCCAATCATCCATGCATGCTTGAATTTCTAGTGATTTTGGGCTTAATCTCGATCTTGTCTCATCCAAAATGCTTCCACATGCACTAAAAGCTTGTTCCACTGCTAATGTTGATGCTGGAGTTGCTAAAATTTGCTTAGCAATAAGGGAGAGGATAGAGTAATTCTCTGATTTTCGCTTCCACCAGTCAAGGACTTTAAACTGTTTAGTTAAGCTACTATCATCATGCTCAAACTTGGTAGTTAGATATGATTCAAGTTCCGTATTAGTATTAAGTGAACCCTTTTATCGTTTCGACCTTTCAAAAAGTATTCTATCACCAATTTTGACAGCCCTTTTAAGACTATTATCAGTGTTACTAGAGGGTTCCAAAATACTAGTAGGAAATCGATCACCATAAGTAATAAAAAATTCATTATATAAAGAACAAATAAACTCTTTAACTTCAAACACTTTTTTATTAACATCGTGGGCATAATTTTCACTACTATATATTTGTTCATAATATGATGACAAATACTCATGCAAACCATCTAATCTAACACGAGGATCAAAAACAGAAGCAACTAAATATATATGTGGAATATGTTCATAATAGTTAGTCCATTTCCTAAACATTTCCCTAATAGGTTGTTTCAGAAAATCATCATTTTTAGCTTCATTTAGACAACCAACAATATTACAAACCTCGGTAAGGAATAAATGGGTGGTGGGATAATATACACCGGACAAAGTATAAGTAGCATCATTAAAAACTGATAAAATTTCTAAAATTTTATTACAAACAATCCAATTATTTTCATGCAACATTATTTCGGTCATGTTAGTTGCAAACAATGCACATAATAATTCACTATAATTGTGTGATTCTTTGAGTAATTCAAATGTTGAATTCCAACGAGTAGGAACATCTCTTGAAAATCTTTTTGGATTTTTTCCATTGACTTTACAAAAAGTGCTCCACTTTTTCATTAATTTAGGGTGTGCCCATAAATAAGAAATTGCTTTTCTAATAGGTTTTATATGATTTTCAAGTGCTCGCAAACCATCTTGTACGGCTAAATTTAAAATTATGCACATCTAATATGAAACAATTTACCACCTAATCCGGATTGGCAAAGATCTCGCAACTCTCCAATAGAAGCGGTATTTGTGGATGCATTATCAAAACCAATTGAAAAAACTTTTTTACATAGACCATATTCTCCCAAAATAATACTAATCATTTTAAAAATATTTAGAGCATTGTGAGATTCATCAAAAATACGAAAAGCTAGCACTCTTTCTTGTATATTCCACTCATTATCAATCCAATGACAAGTTATGGCCATATAAGAATGTACTTGCCAATGGTCACTCCAAATATCGGAACATATAGATACACAACTATCTAAATTTGAGAATAATTGAATTAACTCTTTTTTTTTTCTTGATTATAAATATTTTTAAGTGTTCGTCTAAGAGTGGTTCTAGGAACATTTTTGAATTGAGGATTTAAAGAATTTTGACAATATTTCTTAAAACCCAACTTTTCACCAAAACTAAAAGATAAATGTTCAATAGCTATCATTTTTGCTAATTCATTCCTATGTCTTTCTTCACTAAATCGAAATAGAGAGAGTTTAGAAGTAGCAAACCCAGTAATTTGTGTTTGTTTGTTGTCGATGCCAAATTCTTGAGGATGAAACTTTCTCAAATGCTTGTGATACTTTCCATGGCCATCTCCCACTTTGTATTGATAACTTTTTTGACAATAATTGCACTTTGCTTGACTTTTGCCATTGACGTCAATTTCTTTGGTGAAGTGCTTTGTGAAGATTTCAGATTTAGGAGTTTTGCTTCCACTTCTTTCCTCGGCTTCAATTGTTTGATCTTCAAGTATGGTTGTCATATGTTGACTTTCTTGAGTTGGACAATCATCAATGTTGAATTCATTTGAAAGAATATTGCAAAAAATATTTTTTTGCTTGCTTGATTTTGAAGATGAGCTACTACCATCAAAACTTGCCATTTGATAGCAAATAAGGAAAAAAAATTGTAAGTAATAATTTAATACTTACAAATTATAATGATAGATATTAGATGAATAGAAAGAATTAAGTAATTAGTAAAATATATAAAAAAGTGAACAGGAACAAACTAGAATAAAAGTGAAAAAATTAGGGAATAGATGAAGAAATTGAGAGTAGTTTAGAGATAGAAGAGAGAAGATTGATTTTGGTGTAGTAGAAAATAAAATTTCAAGTCCTATTTATAAAATGAAATTAAAAATTTGGAACGTTGTATTGTAACTTTCCAGATTTGTAACATTCCAAATTTGTAACGTTGTATTGAAAATTTGGACAAAATTACAACATTGTATTGTAACATTGTAATTCACCCTAACCCCCAATTTGTCAAATTTAGCGGGCAGCCACATTTTGCTTTCACACTGACTTATTTGTTAAACTACTACTTTAATCGTCAATTATTACGTACTAGCATTCTACTATTAACTCTCACTTTGGGAGGAATCAAAGCCTTTTAGACAAAATAAAGTGTGCCTTGGATGCGTAAGATGTGGAATGGATTCTTTTTAGAGACTTTTCAGCTTTTTCTCTTGCTTTGCGGAATCATTCTTTAGTGCTTAAGTGGATAAGCAAGTGCTGTACTTTTCAGCTTTTTTTTGCTGAAATGTATTATGTTTCCATAAAGATTCCATGCCAATCATTGATGGCTAGAATAGGCCCTTATTGAACCGGTAATTCTATTTTTATCTCATTATTTATATTAATTATTTTTAATTTTTTTAACGGTTTTGGAACCGGCGGTTCTGGTTCAGGTTCTATTTTTTTAGAGAATCAGAATCGGAACCTTTATTCAAGGTTCTACCACGATTTTGGTTTCAATTCTGATCCGATTCTAAAACGGTCCTGTTCCGGCCCAGTTCTCGGTTCCAAATGGAACCATTTGGAACCATGACCATGCCTACTTGTAAGTGTGCTTCTAGAAGGCTGACTAGTGAGTGACTTACAAGTACAATTACTTGTGTAGGTGAGACACCTTGTAACACCTATCCATAAGCCATAATAATGAACGCATAATTTATACACATATACCATAGACTACTCTTTCTTCCATGTAACAAGTTTTGACTTTTGCAAAATATGTACCTTATTCAAGTACTAATTATTAATTAAGACCATGTGCCGGATCAGTAATCTAAGGACGGCATCTCTTGCTTCTGAAAAAAAAAAAAGGAAGGAAGGCATCTTCTGTTCATCTTGCTTGCGCATATTCCTTCATATTTCTTCGCTTCACAAGAATTCCTACCAGTAACAATAATATATGCAGAACCAAAACCTGGAATAAGGGTGCAAGTCAAACAATGGATCATCAAGATGAACTTGTTCCCCATGTACTAATATTCCCTTTACCCATTCAAAGTCCGGTGAATAGTATGCTGAAGCTAGCTGAACTTTTGTGCCTTGCCGGGCATCGCGTAACATTCCTCAACACAAAGCACAACCACAATCGTCTTCTGCGTTGCACCAATATCCAGTCCCGTTTAGATCAATATCAAGGAAGATTCCTCCTGGAAAAAGTCGATGATGGCCTTCCGGATGAAGATCCTCGTACTGCTGAACAGTTTACAGAGATTCTCGATTCTTTGCAGAGTGTGGCCGAGCCTTTCTTAAGGGAGGTACTGTGCGGTGAACGTTTTAGTTGTAACAGTAGTAAACGGCCTCCAATTACATGCATCATAGCCGATGGATCGTACTACTATGTTCTTGATGTTGCTGAGGAGATGGGAATCCCACTCATTTTTTTCGAAACTATCAGCCCTTGTTGTCTTTGGGTTTACATGTGCGTTCCCAAACTCATTGAAGCTGGTGAACTCCCCTTCAAAGGTAATTATCAGTTCACCTCCTCAATTTCGTGTTTCATGGCGCTTAATTCTTAAACATCTGCCTCCTCCCCTTGCCTAGGGATGGCAATGGGCCGGGTGCCCGCGGGGGTAGAAATGGGGTGGGGGTGGGGGCGAAATATTTACCCCCGCCTTAAAACGGGGCGGGGGATGGGGCAACGTACACCCGCCCCATCCCCCGCCCCGTCCCCCGCATAAAATATATATATATATATATACATATATATTTATATATATAAGATGTTTGTCTAAAAGCCTTAATGAAAATGTAAATATGAGAGCCTAATGGAACAAGAATTCTTTCTATGACCTATGATATCGTTTATAAGCAGTTCTAACAACCATGAGTTTGTTTTTCCCTTCATTTTGCTGATTTTCTCTTTTATGTTTTCCATTGATCTTTGTCTCTTGTTATTTCTGGATTTTAATTGTTCTTGGTATTTTTGGTTAATGTTTGGGAATTCTTTCTCTCTCCTATTAGTTCTAAAAAATGTTTGAACATATGAGGAGAGTTTTGCTTTTCATAAGTTAATTTCTTTACTCGCAGGGAACCGCGGGGGACCACGGAAAAACGGGGCAGGGGCAGGGGCGGGGCGGGGGATGGGGGGGGCAAGGGACCGAGGGGAGTTATTTGACAACGGGGCGAGGGATGGGGGAAGGATCCCCCGCCCCATTGCCATCCCTACCCTTGCCAACCCCATCACAGAAAATTTTGTGCTAGATTGTGTGCATAATTAGTAGGCCAATTCGATGAAAACTTTTTGCGTGACTAAGGTGGTGTTGTACATTTTATTATATAGAAGAACCTTTTCATGATGATAACATCTTCAACTCTTCTCTTCTCCCGTTTGCTTTTCTGATAACATCTTAATTTAAAGTAAGACACTCAATTCAAGATAAAGAAAATCCTGGCTCTAGTTTGGACACGCATTTAAACCGAAACAACAAATAAATAACTCATTCTTTTTTATTTGTTATGTATATTCCCAGTTGAATTATCCATTAATTGTGCATTACTATTCTGAAGTGAGTCACATGAATATTTCCTGAACCTGCAAGATTGAGCCAAACCTAAAAGGTCCATTATGATTTTTGATGAAGTTATACATGAGATTCTAAGCCAAGAAATTTTATCCAAACAAAACATAATTTATACGTTATTACTACATGAATGATGCACGAATTTGGCAGCCAAGATGAACCCGCCAAATGCAGATTAAATTTGTCTGAACCAAGTTAAATTCATCCAGGCAGTAATGCTTATTTAGACGAAGATTAAAGCTCTAATCTTGAGTTCATGTAGCAAAAAGGAAAAATCGTTCAAAATATTTTTCATATTTTGTCAAATGAATGTTTTCCTTTTCACTTTTAAAATGATAACTTTACGTCTCTTATAAAATATTTAAGCCACTAAAATTTGGCTCCAAATGAATTTTTTCGTCATTCACTTTTAAAATGATAAATTTTATGTTTCTTACAAAATCAATTTAGTAAAATTTGACCCCAACCTAAAATTTTGACCACTTTTTATCCTGAATCTATCACATGACTTATACATGGTCATTTTTTTTTGGAGGCAAAAATGTTTGATACCATTTGCAATTAAACAAATAACCCGATTCATATTCATTTTTGGCCTAAAACAATAGGCTCTTACCTGTATCATATTCATTTTTCCTAAAAAAGTGGGATCTGACATTTTTGTGCATAAAAAATAATGCATGTGAGTAGAGCTGGCAATTTGTCCCAAGTCCCAATGGGCTACCCATGCCCAAAGGAATTTTGGGCGGGATGGGTATTATAATTTGGTATTGGGTTTAAGTTGGGACACATCCCAACTATACCCATTAATGAATGGAAAAGGATGGGAAATACTTGGGTACCCATTGGGCTCAAATGACAAGGGCTCCGTTTGGATTAACTGTTTTTGGGGGGTGTTTTTGAAATATTTTATTGTAGCAGTGTATATGAAAAATTTTTACTATAAAATTTTTTTGAAATATTTGATATACTAATATGGATGGGATGTTTCTTGAGTTATTGTATATTACTGTAACATTGTATTTGAAAAACTTATTTTTTTGAAAAAATAGTCAATCCAAACGGAGTCTTAGATTCAAAAATTATCTTTAACAATTTTTATAGTCATATCAGCGAATATAATCTAGTAGTCTTCCTAGTCATTATCCATAAGAATTTCCAACATTTCAGTTAGTTTAGACCTGTCATCCTTGGACAATGATGAGGATAAATATTCAACATCCTAAGGATCTTGGCCATCTTGATATATGTTGGAATATGGCTGTATATCTATCTTTTCTTTTATTTGTTAATCCAATTTTTTATGGGAATCTTGAGTATAAAGCACTTGCATGTTTATTTAATAAAACTAAAAGAAATTTAATAAATCAAAAATATTAAAATTATATAAAAATAAAAAATGAATTAAAGGAAAAAAAATATGTAGAAAATGGATTTGGGTATTGGGCGGGATCAATCTAAACTCATCCCAAACTGATCCCGCCCAAGTTAGTCCCAAAACACATATGGGTAATGTTGGGTCCAAACCCATATGACTCGGTTCCATCTCAAACCCAAGCAAATCCCGCCCATCCCGCCCATTTTGCCACCTCTAGTTAGAACCCTTATAAGCAACTTTTGGTTCTGAGGGTATGTTCTGACCCATGATGGTGATCAGAATCGAATCTACTCAAACTTTTATTTATCAAAGAAAGGTAAAATACAAAAAAGTCCAAATTGTTAAAACTAATGGAGGCAGACAAAATGACACAATTGCTCTAATATATATATATATATATATATATATATTTATATATGTATGTATGTAGGCAAAAACAGACCTTCTAACAACCATCTTGATTAAGCAGACTTACGGAAAACCTCTCTATTGTTAAACTAACCTACAGAAAAGTCCCTTATGGATACCTATTGCTGCCACCACTGCTCTCCACCTTCTACCATCACCCTTCCTTCAATCACAGTCACCCTTCCTCTCATTTTTCCTCCTCTTCCTTGCCCCTCCCTTTTTCTCCTCCTTTCCCTCTCTTGCACCCTTTCCCTTCCTTTGTAGCCCTTTTTCTGCACCTCCTCACCTCCCTCCTATGACTAGATTTGTCGTAGAAGAGAGGGGGAAGGGGGCGAGAAAGGGGTGATCGGGAGAGAGGGTGTAGGGAAGTGACCGTGAGAGGAGCAAAGAGAGTAAGGCATATGGGAGAGCGAAAGCGAAGGGAGATAAGGGAGAAGAAGAAGAGGGAGGGGGTGGTGATGGAAGGGAGAGTGGTGATAGCAAGATGTGGCGGGTGATGGCGAAGAAAGAGATGAGGGTGGTATTTTATTTTTATTTGTTTATTTTTGTATAGAAATAAGGTGAGTTGTATTTGAGAGTATTTATTTATTTATTTGGTGTATAGAAATATGGTGAATTGTATTTGGGAGTTTTAGGTTGTTTTTGAGAATTTTATGAGCTCTAAAGGGTATAATATGTATATTAGCTAAACATTGGATTTAAAAAATTATTTTTCAGGTCAAGACTTTCAATACAGTTGCGTTTATCTCAAATTCGTTAATTTAAATGATTGTCATCGAATTTTCACATTAGTTCAAACCAAAAAGTATTCGATTGTAAGATTTGAAACTATAGAGGAACTTTTTTATAGGTCTATTTAACCATAAGGGGCTTTTCTACGTTGTGCCCTTTTATTTAACTCTAAGGGTATAATAGGCATATGAAATTTTGTTTGTTTCCAGTACAAATATTTGCAAAAGAGGTGCGTGTATCTCAAACCTGTCAATTTAGTTGATTTTCATCATTTTCTAAAATTAGTTCAAACCACGAGATACCAGAGGGTATGCTTTAAAACTATAGGGGACCTCTTATAGATTCTCTTAACCATAGGAGGTTTTTCTATATTTTACCAAAAAAAAAAACTTTTTACTTGAGCTTAGTTCTTAGGCCTTATTTGGATTATAGTTTTCTAATAGAAAATTTTTATGTTTTTCATGAATATATCTCTCAATCACTATTTTTAACTCATATACATCAAATTAGTATAATATATCTTTATACAAAAACTTCAAAAAGCGGCAGTTCAAATGTGACCTACCATCATCCATGCCTTTTCTTTTCTTTTTTTTTCCTTATCTGTTTGTAAAATTTTTGGATGTTGATACTATAATATGGTAGCTGCAATTTGAAGTTACGTTGATAAGTGACTATTTTATGCTATATTTGGATGATATTTTATATTACTTTTAGTTACTTTTCTAATATTATAAGAAGAAAATGGTCTATTTTGATTAGAATTAGTTCTAAATGATGCTTGATAGGGTGCGTTTGTGTGTATTTTTCCCTTGATTTTAGTCAAATATTATTTTAATTGATCAATTCTACTTATATTTGGTTAATGGTGTTAATTGTAGGAAAGTGAAACAAAAAATGGTTACAAAGGCAATTTCTCAAAAGATTATGAACCGGTTTGACATGTGTGCGGTCAAGATATGCTGTCAAGTCCACAGACATAGGATTCCAAACGACAAAGAAAGTTTTCTATTCGAAACCAACTTCTAATTGGGCAATTAGCTGAGATCGGCGATCCTTATTAGTATCGATATTTAGTTAGGAAAGTATTATGTACTTTTCCCAGAGTGAGTAGGACTCAATTTCTTTGGAAGAGATTTATAAGTAGCAATAAAAAAGTGAGAAAAGCCGTCATTGGTCCCGAGATATTGATCTCTCGGTTTTAGCCAGGGCGCGAAAATCAACATTGAGTGTGTCTTATCAAAAGAACGAGTAATTTTGGTCTACTATTAATCGTCTCTTTTATATATATATATATATATATTTGTATTTCACCTTCTAAGAAAGAAAAGAAACAAGAAACAGCATTGCCCAAAAAAAAAAAACAGCTTTGCCCGATCTTAGGATCTTGTTTTCAAATTTGACCATACATAACCTTTTTTTTTTTTTTTTTGTCGGCAACGGTAGATGTCCTGTAACCTAATCTAGCCTAATCTAGGGGGAAGGGGTAAGGGAAAATGGTCAACTAAGACCAGCCATATACTGTGGCAAATTTGAGGAAGGCAGGGATAGAACCCCTGACCTCCAGCATCACCAAAGAGCGTGATGATCACTGGACCAAATGGCCAGTGGCGACTATACATAACCCATATATAGACTTTTGAGGCTGATATAGCAAATTGATAATTTTCATAATTCTAGCCAATGTCGTAGTCAATGATACAAGGAGTGTGTTTGAATAGAGTATTATTTGAAATATTATTTAAAATAATAACTGTAACATGATATGATGTACCTGAAATAAAAAGATGATTAAAAATATAAAAAATTAAGTTAAAAAATATATTTATAATACAAACGAAGTATTATTTGAAAAAATTTGCTATTCAAAAAGAGTTATCCACACTTGTACGGTAAATATCTTATATTGAGACAAGAAGCCATTATGGGCTTCTCACAGGATTCTTTTCAAGATATGTGATGCAACATGTTTCACAATTCATTTCATACCAATTAAGGGGGTGGAAGAGGGATTCACACTTCAAAGATGCTGCTAGACCGGATGTCAGCATAGCCACACGTGCAACTTACTACAGAATTTGAGGGTTATTCAGGAGTTTTGAGGTCTCAGAAAGTTGCAGATTAGCGCAGAAGGGAAAAAAAAATCATGAATATTGAGAACTAAGTGATCAACAGAAGCACATGGTTTCTTCTTAGGAGAAATCCTATGCCTTCTCAGTATCAGTCTACAACACTATGACTATTTACAAGCTGAAGCATAGACATTCAACCCTTGGCATTTCATTTACACCTACCTGCCCCCACCTAATTGTACAAAAAAACACCCACAAAACAGGAGGGAGCTAAAGAAATTTAAACCCTGAATCACTCGAGGAGACTGAAGTGCATGGATTCTTGCTCCAATCCTTCAATTTTGCTGTTGACTTGTAAGAATAGATTAACTGTGACGTCTAACTCTAGATGATATACAAAATCCTGTTGCAGGATAGAGCTGGGTAGAGATTCATTGGGTACCTTGAGGAGGTAAGTTTGTTGTGAAAGAGGGTCACGAAGTTCCAAAAGTGGATGGATTGGTCTGAACAGAATGAAGTCTCAATGAAGCAGGGAAAAGCTGGTTACTTGAACTCGAAGAATATGGTCCAGCATGATAAGATGGAGCTTGAGTCTGCCATGTTCCATTCCAACCTCCAGCATTAGGTTGCTGAGTACCTCCCCAGCCAGTGTTTGGCAATATTCCCCAATGTTCCGGACGTTTTTGTGCCTGTTCCAACTCAAAATGTGGAAGTTGCTGTCCTGCCACCCAATTTGCAGATGACGTTCCTCCCCAACTGCCAGGAAGAGTTCTACTCCAACCATCACCATACCGCATCTTTTTGGTCAGGGTGGAATCAGCAGGCCTCTCATGCTCTCTCTTTTGGCAATGTATTTTATTTTGGGCCCCTTTTGCCTGGGCCAATTGAGTATTAGAAGGAGGCAGTGCTCCGTTTGTGTTAACAGCACCGACTGAGGGTGTGACTACCTTCATCTTAGAATTAGCAACTCCAGCACTCACTAGCAGCTGTTTGGCAACCTGGCCAAATAAAAGTTCCCCCAACTTGAATCCGTCGATTTGCCCATTCATGAATGCAAAAAGATGCCGGATAGACTGATGAATGCATTCGTAAATAACTTTAACTTCTGGAGCCGCCACTGCCCTTGATACATTTTGAGACCGATCAGTAAAATCTTCAACCTGCAAGCTTGACTGTCAGAGTCCAGAACCTCCTAAACATAAAGAAAGAAGCAGCAAAAGTTTTATCACATGCGAGAAATTACACTAATGGCGCCAACTTTAGAAGCCCAAGTTTTTGATGTCCAAGAACCTTCATAGACACTAGCACAGAGACCTTTGGGCCAAAGTTTTTCAACTGATGATAACTGCAAAAGGGGAAAATGAAAACCGAGAACAACTAAAACATAAAAGATGAAGGTGATGCAAATATTTACCCCAATATTGTCCTTCTAATTTGAAATTAAAGAAATGTTGATCTTTTATTTTCCATAATAATAACGTTGAACTTCAGAACCTGACTACATAGTCAATTTTAGACAGATCGACTTTATGCTGTTACTCTGCCTGCTCCAATTACAATGAGGTTGATTCAATCAGAAAGCAATTTGTAGTCAAATTCTTAAAAAAATAAAATAAAAAGAAAAAGAAAAAACTACACAGACCTGAGCATTCTCTTCTCAGACCTTCCCTTCTCAATCCTTACAAATGTTTTCCACTCTTCCCTCCACCATATCTGGTCCTAATCTCTCATTTGCCACCGTTATTCTAAACCAAAAAACCCACACAAGTTGGGACTGTTGATCCCACAGCACTGCTGCTACCATCACCAAAGGTGTCACACTGCTGCCCACCGTCGGAGTGGAGTCTCACAACTGCAGGAGGGTTTCCTTTTGTTTTTTCATTTTTGCCTCTAAGAAACTCACTGGTGGGGTTGTAAACAAGGATGGACCGCTCCTACAACTAAAGGAAAAGAAGGATGCGCCCTTCCATCACACCCCACTCCGCCCCCCCCCCCCCAAACAAAAAAAACCCAAAAAAGTGTTGGGAATTTGACAAGAAGTCAACCTCTGAGAAGTCAGAAATCAACTTCAATGTAATCTGGCACAGTAACTGCTTTAGAGTTGATTGTAAAATTGACTTCAAAGTTAATTTTCTGAAGTTCAACTTCCATATTTTTAAAAAACAATGAAAAAGATCAGTATCTCTTCAAGTCCAATTACAAAGGACAGTATTCACTGTAAAAAGGACAGATAGCACTTTGTATAATTTAATTTAGCATCGAATGGAGGTGAATAGCATTACCTTCATCAGTAGAGAAACCAGGAGCTCAGCTACACTTTCTTTGTTACTTTTTCCATAGTTCACAAAGTTACTCAGCAGCTTGGCCACTGATGCAGGATCAGTACCATCTGAAAGATGTCATTATTCTTCAGCGATTAACAATTACCAAGTAACAAAAGGCCTCAAAGCAAATGAGTTATTCGAGGTTTGCCCTCAATCATCATCTAGTCAACAGGACAGAAACAAAGAGAAAGTACATCAACATACAATTAAAGCAGTGGAAAATAAGCAGCAGATGTTCTCATCTACAGAGGTAAGATTGCCACTCTGGAACAATTATCAATGGTTTTGATTTTATAAAGTCAAGTAATTAAACCATGCATAATCTCATCTCAATTTTCAAACAAAGTCATTCTCCAAAGTCCTCTTCACTTTTCAGATTCGAAAGATAGGCCTCTAGATCATAATATTTTCTCTGCTTGGCTTTATTATTTTTTATTTTGGTGGGGCCAGCGGGGATGGGTCGTGGGTATATGAAGAACTACTGACTTTGTTCTAGCCTTTTGGATCGTCTTTTTTCTTAACTGGTTTCCAATACTATATGTTGTTAATGAGACTGTTTTGGTGTACAATGTCTCTCTCTCTCTCTCTTAATGTCACGTCTTATAATGGCTGATTGATTTCCAGCATTCTAAGATGGATTAGGTGGTGGGATGAAGAAATCCTGTCTTTTGTTTTGGCCTTTTGGATAACCATTGCTGAAGTCGGTTTAGGACTACTGGTGACAAAGCCTCCTCTTACAAACATATCCCTGAGGATAATATCCTAACAAATAAATTTTTTAGCTTCACGACTCGCAAGTTAACAGGGCCATGAGATGTTGAGCTATATGTATTTTCTAGAATGTTTGTAAAATGAACTACATATCTTTATCAACCTAAACTGCAAAAGAACAGCTCACAATAACAACAAAAACACCCCTCATGACATCCACAAAATATAACCTAGCCCTTAAACATTTATATGTATGACCACATAGTTTAGTATAACCAAGTTATCTTGGCCTTCCTACTCTAGTTCAGAAAATTGAGTGAATCATCATCCAGAAAAACACCCTCTCTTATAGCAAAGAATTTTCCCTTTAAGTTTCCAAAGTTTGACTTTATCATCTTTGAACAAGCCTAATGATGAAAACAGTTAACAAATATGCACACCACAAAAGAAAAAGGAAATCAATAAACATCACAGAAATAGCATAGATGAATGTGAAAGTCCTGTACTACTCCCTCCAATACATCATTGAAAAGAATGCAGCCTCCAAGCCGTCAAGAGTCATTAATCTTTTTTTTTTCTCAAGTTCTCTCCCATTTTAGATTTTCCATTCAGTTGCTTACTACTCTCCCATTTCATGTTTCATAGCTATCATCAAATACCACATCTAATCTTCTAATTCTGATAACCAGATTCATCATATTGCCGACTAAATTACCACATCCATTTTCTGTTCACATGCAACAGATGAACAGAACCATATTGTTAGAACATTATCCCACATTCTTAAAGGATAACTGTTACCTTTAAATAAGGCAGAAAATGGAGGTAGTATAGGAGGATTCCGTGTCTGCAGAGACAGAAACAAGAGTAAAGCAGAACTTCATCAAAGATGATGCACACAGTATTGAGCAGGACAAAAGTATGTAAAACATGACAAACTCATTTCAAATGTCAACTGTTGAAACCTAGGTACAAAATGAAGGAAAAGAATCTACCAACTAGACAGCAAGGAAATGTAATTCCTGTTACAAAATTCACTCTGAAATCAAGGAGCAAGAAGACCATCACAAATCTTTGTCATGAAAGCATTGTGGTTGAGTTGCCACTTGCCAAATGTCTACTATTGGTTAATTCTCTCGGTTCATCATCGAGACTACAGTTGTCATATCTTATCCGTCTGAAGGGTAGTTGATACCATAGCTATGAGATTTCAACTATAATTTGACTGACAAGGTATGGCTAGGAAAGGTGTAATAAATATGTAAAGAGAATGAAAAATAAGCATGGAGAATGTAATATTGCGAAAAATTACATGATTATTACATGGGTAGTGCTTGCCAAAAAAGTTTTTGCAAAGGTACAATTAAAGTGCTACAGATAATCCAATAAAAAGGCAATAGAGAAATTAAATTGGAGTCACAATCATACCTGCAAATGAAAAGCAACCAACAGTATTATAGATAAAGAGTTTAATGTTCCATCTTTTGAGCTATTGATCTTTTGTGCCTTTGCCCATGTTTTCATCTGCAATGATATATCAGCTTTTCAGTGAGATCAGAAGTAAAAAGTTCAAAAAAGTCCAGGTAGCATGCAAGCAATGCAGTACAAATTCTAACATTGAGATTCACCAAAATATTTGTGGACCAAGCTGATGATAAGAACAGTTAAGAGATACTCCAGCATGCTGTTTAAAATGACAAAGGATTTCTCAATGTCATTTGGACGCAGACCAAAGTGAAAGTGGGACTTGTTAGTCAGTTCCAAAACTAGTCCACTTTGCATCAAGTAAGAGTTTAGTCCTTCCTAGAGATAATAGATAATCTAGTGTCCTCCAAATTTCACTTCCCATGTGTCATCTTTCTAACATCTATCCAAAACTATTTAATTTCCCTAATATCCCCTAATATTCCCTACTTAAAGTTTATATATTAACAAAAGGAACTTTCAGTTCACCTCTAAAAAGTAGTTTGAAGTTGTGTAATTGCTCAGCAGAGAACTTCACTTAAGGCACTTAAAAGCCTCCATGTATTAATAACACAATTCTACCATTTCGTACCGTAGCTTTTCATTATTCTATGTTTGTAGTAGCTGTACCTGTAATCAAGAGTTATCATGTTTATGCAGAGAACTCCTAGAACAGACACTGGTACATCTAAAGTGTTGGAAAGTATCATCAATCTCTCCATCTCTCTCCTCACAGGCCCACATCCAACATTCTAATTTCACACCAAACCTTCAAGTACAATATCAAAAATTACTTCCTAAACCTGTTCACTTGGGTAAATTCAACTATGAAGTTTCAGTTCCACATAACAATTGAAGCATGATAATTAACTTGTTCCATAGGAAAATACAAATTCTGCTCATCAGTCCAAACAATAACTAGAAAACTAGTAAAATAGTAGAGAAGTAATATTAAAGGTTTTGTGAAACTGTAAAGCTAAGAATATGTAGCAAAAATTAGTGCCCAAATTGAATATAGTGATGAATTCAAGTATATAACAATTACCAAAAAACTTAGCTTCCGGAACCTTTCATCTATAGAACAAAATATTCGAATTAACTGAGATTTCAAAATCCCATCTCTGTTTTCAATTGATATATCACACTCAACACCAGTTCCGCGGTCAACAACTTTAAGAATAGGAACTTTGGCAGTAGTAATTGGATGTACGCCATAAACATGCCCGCCACCTAAAGCACAAAGATGCATATATCAGAAATATCCCAACTTGTGAAGCAAACATCCTCAAATAGAAACTCATTCCTATCTTTATCTAAACTTCAAAACATATTTGGCTTCCAAACAAGAGTGCTTAACTTCATCCTAAACAAGGGGGAACAAATGAAAAGCAGCATAAAGTCTTCTTATTTTCTTCTTTGTACATTTGTAAGAATAAATCCGGCAAGTCAAGAAATGACACATTAGCCATCCAAATATCCTGAGCTTTATACATTGCAAATTGCCACTTAAATGTATCAAGAAGTCCCAATAAGTAAGTTCAGCTAAATCACATTTACGCCTACTGTGGTAAAACTTTATGTTAGATGAACAAACAGCAGAATCAATTGATTCTTACAACAACAGCTTTGCCACTAGAAGAGTGGCAGGAATGAGCTACACTTCCTACGCCCAAGTCATTCTTCCTTTTTTTTAGCAGGGAGCGGTAGGATTTAAGGAGTGGGGAGAGGAAAGGCGGGATTTGAACCGAGGACCCCTAATTCTTGGAGCATCAACACAAGGCCTCCTCGGCTACACCTATGTCATTCAAAATAATCACATATGCTAGTAACAAACAAACACTTGCCTGGACAAGCATTCAGTTAGGTTTTGGGTTTCATGTTCGCAATCCTTTAAATTGTTTCTGTTTATTTTTTCCGAACTGTGGTCTATGCAGAACATTTGAACACGTCTCCAAGGAATTTTACAGTACTATCCCGCAATTGCCTACTCACTCTTGCAATCATGGAGAGCAAAACAAAAATCAAAAAAGAATTGAAAGAAAAGGAGCAATAAGTTTGAAATCAAAATCTAATCAAGAACAGGCTGAAGCTCTCTTCTAACCCTCATGATCGGCATGCTTACGCATTAACTCTTAGGTTGTGCGGCTTATATCCTGAGATCCATGTCTTAATTAGGGTCCCATACATTTTTAATGACAAAGAGGGACTTTCTCGCTTGTTGACTTGAACAGTATAATACGTAAATCTGATAACAAACTACAATTCTCCAAGTAACCCAATTTTTTCCCATAAGAAAATGAAGTGACATTTTTTCACCCCAAATTAAGTGTATAAACAACAAAAATAGCTAAAAAAAGTCAGGAAAGTCCCTACGAGGCAAACTGATAAATAAAAGTGTGCTTGTTACTGACACTGTCATGTCCAACTGCATGCTTTTTGTGTGTGTGTGTGTGTGTGTGTGTGTAAGAGAGAGAGAGAGTGAGAGGAAATATCATCTCCATTCATTAACACAATAGACTGTCCACATGTAATCCATTTAAAATTCAAATGACACGTGATAAAATTGCAAATATTGGCGTCATTTAAAATGGTGACAATGCTCTGTTATTTCTTGTATTTCTAAAAAATTCTCTAACCACCTAGGCCATTGATTGATGGAATAATGAATATTAAGTTACCCCTGTATTGGTAACCAAAAACAGCTATGGACACTGAAATGTTGCAATTTATACAATAAATATACTCCAACATAGGTCAAATTCCTAGGTCTTGGTAACTTCCTTGTCGAAATGGGATAAAATTTCCGGCACTCATAAAGCAATTAATTGCATTATCTGTTAATAGTACATACAACATAACATATTTAACACAAATTTTCTGAACCTTCTTCTTCCTGGTGTTTCTAATTGGCTTCATCATGCTAGAATATTCTGTAGAAAACCATTGACCTCTATAAGAATTTTAGCGGCTGCTGATACTCCGCAAGGTTTTAATGAGGTAAATGGGAATTATCCATGCATGAATTGAAATGACAGGCATTGGCAATAGTGTAGAGATGCCAAGATTAACAGGGGTCTTTTCAAGTGAAGTAGTCTTAAGTAGAGAATTTTGATGGAGCAGCAACAGTAGCAGCATGGTCAGGAAAGCAGGGCAGTGATCACATACAATGTTTGTCAAAATTAAAAAAGGAGGGGGGGGGGGGTTCTACTCTCCTCTTTTCCAGAATTCTCATGATTTTTATGCATCCTTTCATCTTCATTAAATGGAAATTCATAACCTTTTTAGTTCTTTGAAATAATACCCTGCTCCTTACATACTGCCTTCAACCAAGTTTTTCCTCTATGAACAACAATCTACTCTTTCTCATGAAAAGAAGATTTTAGTTAAGATTCCTCTTTTTACTAACTACCAAGCTCAGATTGAAAAAATTTGCAGCTTATCCATTTCATCTCTAACAAAAGCAGAAGTTTTAACCACAGTTCAGCAATGGCAATACTCAGAGGGAATTACAACACAACTAGGTGGTTAAAAACACTTTTCTTTCATGTTTTATGAAGCTGGCAAAGATGAGGTCAGATTCCAGAAAAAATTAAATAGATGAGGTACATAACACTTACTTTGCAAGGCATAAAACTTCTTTGCAAGCTTCCGGAGCGTTTGAATCTTCTTCTCCCGTGTAATCTGAACGCGACTTTGGGTAAAGTTGAAAGAAAGATCTAAATCACTTTTTGCATTGAAAAGATCCATCACAAAAGAACCAAATTCCTCCACAACAGGAATGTCAGTAGATTTGCCTGAAACAAACAATAAACTATGCAAGGGTAAGAAATTCGCTGCATGAAACTACTTAAAGGTTCTAAAAACTAGAAACTAGTGCACATTGTAGAAAAACAACAGATAAAAATTACCAAAAATTTCCCTTGAGATTTCGTTAAAAATCCGAACCAAGTCTTTCCGGACATCATAATCATGAGGCTTAGGACGAGAGACATCAAAAACATCATTAAGTGTGGCTTCTAAAGCGGGCACTCTTTCAGGGTTAAGTTTACAATTCTGCATGCCCCTCCGTTCAAACTTCTGCACTTTCTTACTCAAAACTGCAACCATCCCGTCAAGAATTAGTACCTCTTAGGAGGTGCCAGAGCATCAATACAACAATCAAATACATCTGAAGGTAATTACAGATCCAATGTAGTCAAAAACAAACAAGAAACTAACCCTTATTGGCAGTAAGAACTTTTTGCATTGAACGTTTAAAATTCACAAATTAACAATATTTATCGACTTTTATCCCTGGAAAGGGGGTAATTCAGAGTCCAAGTCGAACAAGGCCACATTTCATTTCTCATTAAGAATAAGTAGAGCAAAACTGAGAACTGCAATCAACAAGATTCTAGGTATATTCCTGTATAGTCCAAACACAAACTAACAAAATTCTTCTGATTATAAAATCAAAAACCAAACAGATCCTAAAGTATACCTAGCAGCCATTTCATCCCAAGCTGCAAAACCCAAATTTCAGAACTTTTAATTACAAAGACAATACCCCATTACCCCTCTTCCCCCCTCCCACCGCAAACACAAAAAGGATTAAAGAAAAAGAAAAACAACCCAAATTGGAGGCAATTTTTTTTTGCAAGATTCAATCTTTTTATCACAGAGCTCGTCATCCTACTGAACCCCAAAAAAATGAAAAGGACAATTTCCAATGAGAAAAATTCTTACTCTTTTCTAAATGTACTAATTTGCTGAGGCAATTGGACTAAACATGCAAAGATAAAAGAAGCAAATAAGAGATTCTTAACCCACAAAAAAAATCACCAAATAGTTAGGAAGTATAACTTGGCAACAACATATATGAAAACAAATCTATTAACACAAAGGTTGGGGTGACAACAGACGGACCTTTTAAGCGTAAAGCCATGGCGGAGAAATCTGATGTGGAACTCGGTTGCTTTAGCAAACTGGGTGGCGTATTTAGTCGCTTTGGGGCGGGTGATGCTACCGATGGGTTTAGACTTTAAGGCCCAGCCTGGGAGTTGGAGATTTGGGCAGTAAAAAAAAATGAAGATAAAGCTCAGATTTCCGTTCTTTGACCGTTTTCAGCGGGAGGGAAAGGAAACGAAACCGAAGGGGTTGGAGCTCTACAGTAGCAAAACATGATTGACTGTTGATCAAATATGATCGACGGTCGGGTTTTAAATTTGCAGAATTTTTTTTTTATTTTGAATTATGTCGCCACAAATAAAAAAAAATTGGCGTACAAAAAATATTTTTTAAAATGAGGTGTCAGAAATTGTTGCATCAAAAAATGAATGTGGCGAACGAGATTAGGCGTTGACCAAGTGCAATCAATGGTCGGATTTAAAACTTGGCTGAAATTTTTTTTTTAATTTTTGAATAGCCAAATTTTAGCTATTAAATGCAATGAGATCAACAATTTGGATTTTACGATACACACGATGCAAGCTTACACATCGATACAAATGAGGAAGTTTTGCAATAAAAGATACCCCAAGTTCATCAATTTCTCTCGCACCAACCCCAATTTTCTCTGTTTTCCACTCCCAAATCCCCCCTTCTCCTCCAGCGTCTTCCAAAAGAAGTGATTCTGCAAGTGTCTCCCGAAAGAAAGCAGGCCCGAAAGGAGTGTTTTGTACAAGTTATATGTTTCGTCGTCACTTTGCGAAAAATCATTAGGTATAAACACGTGTAGGTACATGTGACTCGATTGATAAAATAATATCTCTTCCTCTAAAAGCATGTTTTTTTTTTTAACCTACGCACAAAGAAAATATTTTGTTGCGTGAACTTTGTTGTTATCAGGAATAAAATTTATTTCTCGATGAAATGAGCTTTAATTTTTAGGAAAACTAATTACAGCTAAGTACAGCATTATAGGCACATAAATTTTTATCAAACAAATAAATTCTAATTGAGCAGGAACCATGTGTCCCCTTACTTGATATGACAAAAAAAGGAAATCTGCTTAAATCTAATGTTGGAGCATAGTTTTTGGGGAAAAAAATTCAGTTGCCAATCGTCAAAGTGGCAGCAATTTCCAAATGATGTAAATGGATGCTAATCGTTAAAGTATTAGCCATGCATTTTCAAATTATGCAGGCACATTTTTGGCAGATCTTTTAAAATGGTGTATTTGAAAATTGGAACATTTTAGAGTATGAATTTAATCGTTGTAGGTTTTTCTTCCGGTGGAAAGGAAAGCAAATGAGTCATCACCAATAAAGAAATTCCTATTCATTTTTTTAATTTTGGAAAAAAAATATGTCGAAAGAGTTAAAAATAATGCTATGAATCAAGAAAAAGAAGTCAAGCGATCAAGTATTGACTTTCCTAAGAAAATGAGAATAAATTATCACCAATAATTTCAAATTCCTCGTTGGAAGCTCTCTTGCTTCTAAACAAGCACAATTTACTCCAATGGTTAGAATGTTCTTTGCTTTTTATATTCTAAATTTTTAGCAATCTAAAACCTAAACATGCATGAGCCCTTTTTTCCTAAAAGAAAAAGATATGATATCAAAATTTTGAACTCTTTGGTGGTACAATTTCATTTTCATATGTCATATGCCTTCATATAACAATACAAAATTCAGTGATAAATAACATTATCAAATATAGTTATTACGGAAATTTGAAATAGTTTGCACACGAGTCCAATAGCTCGCTAGTTACTCGATTAAACCTATGCTCGAGCTTAATGGCTACCAAGTTCAGCCAAGTTAGAATAACTTGAAATTTTTGAGCTCGAGCATGAATGTGGTCGCTCGAAAGCTTATTAATGTTAATCGAGCATCAATTAAATAACTACTTTACTATCTTTAAAAGTTATTATTTTAGTCTAAACTTACTTACACTAAATTTTACACTAAAAGTCTAGTCTTGAGCTTTAGTCTTACACTGTACAAACTGTACATGTCCCCTCTGCTGTGGCTTGCACTGTTATCATGTCACATAAAAAATAAAAGCGTAATAATCTTTGTGGAATTAGACATATACCACCAAAACTGCACGAGTTTATACTGAATATTGCAAGAACTATACCAGGATAGAACTCAACTGGAGAGACCGGTTTCCCCCCTCTCTAACAACAAAACTTGTTATGCATGCTTCATGCTACTTCAGTAATGAACTCAAGGGATTCCTATGACTCACAAATTTATTATTCAAATGCACCATCAGGTTGTTGTCAACATTGTCTCCCACCAAACTTGTCACTCACCTTCGGGTGGTTTCCTTCGACGGGGTTTCCACGGTTACATAAGATTAGTAAAATTATAATTTACTTGCAAAAATTACAATTTGATTACCAAGGATTACCAGGTTCTGAAAAGTTTGTCATGTTTTCTACCAAGGTTATTAAGACAATAAGAAATTTACTATTTGAGTAGCAAAATTTATCACTTTTATGTTTAAAAAAATTATCACTTAACTAAAGGTTCTGGACCTTTTTTTTTTTCCTAGGAAGGGGCTGCTAACCCTTTATTTTATTACTGTAAAAAATAAAATTACATGTTGAGGTTACCCTCAAGTCTTACTCCCTTATAAAATTACATGTTGCAAAAGAGGCTAAGCGCAAATGAGGAGTACTTACTCCCTTATAAAAATATGGAAAACTAAACTAATACTACCTAACAAACTTCAAGATCTATTTTTTAACCCCACATGAAAGAGCACAGGGCCTCCGGTACTCACATAGCAAAATTTATTTATTTTTTTGTGATAAAATTTATACTTTGGCAAAATAAACTTTTTAAAGCCAATCTAAGTATATCACTATGTGCCAGAAAAGTTTATTTTGCCATCCAAGTATATCACTATAAGCACATAGATTTCTTATCCAGACCAATCAATTCTTGTTGCAGAACAGGTGGTATCAAATAGAATAAGAACCACGTTTCCACTTTGTCGACGCCAAATTTTAATTTATCTTTATTTTAATTTATTATTATTATTTATTTTATTTTATTTTATTTTTATTGATAATTATTATCTATTTTTATTTATTAATATCATGATTTTGTTGTTAGACATTTTTTAGCATTTTAGATACCAAATTTTTTAATTTAGCTTTATTTATTATTATTATTATTATTTTTATAGATTAAATGATAATTATTATTCATTTTTGCTCATGAGTCTCTTAATTTTTATTTTAAGACATTTTTAGCATTCAAATTTATCAGAAAAAGAAAATTGTTCACAAAAATATGCTTTATTTCTTTTAGATTCAATTTATGAAAGTTATTGTTGGTTTACCTAAATTAAGTAAAATTAGGAAAAAACCATCAACAAAATCAACAAATTTTTTAGCATTTGATTTTATTTGATTAATCTTGTTTTATTTTTATTTTTATTTTTTGTTGTTAAAATTACTTCATTATTTGTTAAATTAAAAAAAAAAAAGAAGTAGTCCGCGCGCGTGCAACCATCCCGCTTTTGGATCCGGGAGCTGTCCAATTCAATTCTTTCCGGTCGTTGTGATTTTTATAATATTTGGTGTAAACTCGTAAAGTTTTGATATAATTGTAAATTTTGTCAATTCATATGATTAGAGGTGTAAAATTTACTATTACACCCAAATTGCAAGAGTTTATACTAAATAATGTAAGAACTATATCAGGAAAGAACTCAATTGGAGAGACCTGTTTCCCCCTCTTTAACAACAACCATTTGGCAAATAATTTTTTTGGATGTTTGTCTAAAACTTTACTATAACTCACTGTAGAAGTTGTAGAAAAATTTTTGAAATGTATAAATTTTTTGATATTTTGAAGTGTTTAGTTTAAAAATTTTGAAGAAGTTTTTTGAGATTACTGTAATTAAAATTGTTAAAAAATTTATAGCAAACAAATTTGGCAAAAAACTTTTTTGCCAAACAAGCCCTTGTTACGCATGCTTCATGCTACTTCTGTAAAAAACTCAAGGGATTCCTATGACTCACAAATTTATTATTCAAATTCACAATCATGTATTTGATCCCCCGACCTAGCAGGGGCGGATGCTCTCTGCCCTGGCCACCTGGGCTTTCCCCAGGTGGTTTAATTACACAAGGTTAGTAAAATTCATCAGTTATTTAATAAATTATAATTTTTTTTGCAAACTTATGAATTTGTTTGCAAAAATTACCATTTCATTACAAAGGATTACCAGTTTCTGAAAAGTTTGTCATGTTTTCTACCAAGGTTATTAATTCAATAAGAAATTTACTATTTGAGTAGCAAAATTTATCACTTTTATGTTAAAAAAAAAATTATCACTTAACTAAAGGTTCTGGACCTTTTTTCTTTTTTTTTTTTTTCTAGGAAGGGCTGCTAACCCCTTATTTTATTACTGTAAAAATAAAATTACATGTTGAGGTTGCCCTCAAGTGTTTGAAAAAGATGCCAAGCGCAAATGAGGAGTACTTACTCCCTTACAAAAATATGGAACACTAAACTGATATTACCTACCAAACTTTAAAAAGATCTATTTTTTTAACCCCACATGAAAGAGCACAAGGCCTACAGTACTCTCATAGCAAATTTTATTTTATTTTTTTTGTGATAAAATTTATACTTTGGCAAAATAAGTTTATTTTGCCAGCTAAGTATAGCACTATAAGCACATAGATTTGTTATCCAAACCAATCAATTCTTGTTGCAGAGCAGGTGGCATCAAATAGAATAAGAAGCTCGTTTCCACTTACTACAAAAGAAATGACAAAGAAAAGAAGACCACTCGCTTTTCCCTGTTAAGACAATCTTTGCACAATCGAGATATCATATTTGTAATCCGAAGACGGTGTCAAAATATCCTTTTGATCTAGTTAGATTTATGTGCCTGCTAATTTTTTACACAACTTTTTTAGCACAAAAAAAAGAGAGATATCATATTCGTAATCAAAGAGAATATTCTGGTTATAACAACATGAGTGAAAAAAAAACCGTATATTTAATGCATTTAAGCTTATCTACAGTCTCAAGCTTAACTACAGTCTACTATCATCCATAGGAACTGTAAGAGATTTTTTCTATCTAATATACTGTTCGTGCTGATTTTTGGGAGCTTGAGGAGTTGATCAGTCCGGTATCGCAGA